ATGTATGATATATACTGTCCTCTTGGGACTACTTCTATAATTGGCTTCATTCTCAGCGATTAGAGTTAGGGATGTATATATTGCTCCATCAATGCTTTTAGATTGAGATTATAGAACTCCATCTGGGTACCATCACTGGATAGTTTTATATTGCTTTCAATTACATCATTTCCATGTATGCTGTCTCTCTCCTTTCTTCTTTCATTTCTATTTTCTACATATGTACTTGATACATTGATATGATTATATTCAAGGCTGACCCTAATACATTAATTTCACTTCTGCATGTTACCTGTTATATTTATCCTAATATGACATTATGTCAATTCTTTATAAATCTTCTTATAACTGACATTTGGTATTTAAGGGATTAAGCGCTTTCACTTTGGTTAGACATACACCTCTTTCTAGGACGTTATTTTGGAGCACCCAATCAGAAGGACGTACCTGGTCCGTTTTTGCCGTTTTTGTCTATTTGATATTATGTAATAGGCATGATAATTAGTATCCTTTCGGGACCATTTTTATAATTGGTTCTATTTTTAGTGATTAGGGTTAGGTGTGTGTACATCACCCTATTAATGCCTGTAGATTTAAATTATGGAACCACATCTGGGCATTATGATGTATATTGCCTTTAATTACATCATTCACCATTCATGCTTTTTCTCTTTTTCTTTTGTATTACTTCTACTATCTACATTTCTACCTTATACATTTTTTGCTGATATAAATACACTCATATGACCGGATTAAGGCTGATCCTAAACAACAATTCCATTTCTGCATATGTTCTGCTATATATTCCAATATGATACTGTGACGAGAGCAATCTCGCCACATTGCATTGGAGAAGCCTGGTTGCTCGCCTGCTGCCTTTGGACTATGGCCCCATGTTAAAAGACATCTTTTGTACCTGCAGGAAATATTTATTCGTTCTTTTCTGCCTGGTGTTCGGTAGATTCAATCTACCGAACAACCGCACGAATGACTGGACCACCTGGGAGCTGGAGTGTGCCGGCAAGTAGCCTCCCTGAAGCTGCGGTTAACTGCAGCTTATTTGACGAATGCTGGGTGGCCGCCATTCGTATCACGAACTCGAGGTCGCGGCCATTTTAAACATGCGAATGCACAGCGGTGTTCAACGCTTAATTCATGGAACTAAAATCGGACACAGTTTTGCGCGAACACCGCTGAAGCCGCCGACCTCCCTTCTTGTTCGGTGAAAGTGCATGAATGGCCCGGTGTTCGGTAGTTTTGCTTGTATGTGTTATACCCCAGATAGGAATCCCATGGAGCTCATTCGCATGAAACTGACTGTGTAAAGACTTTAGCTCCATGGCGATTAAACTGTATTCGTGTGGTCTGTGCGCCATTCGCTTAATAATGTGCGCACAGACCTGAGCTATCTGGGGCTATGTTAAATGTATGCTTTTACTGTTATGTGTCTCACATATTTTAATAGTAATTCGTGTGTTAGTATCCCCACGTGCATAATGGCGATTTGCCTTTGTCTTGGGAGATAATTGAATTACTTCTCAATTATCTCCAAGGCAGAGGGGAGGAAGCCAGGATGCATTGTGGGAATATAATGTGGCTGTGTGTCCTATTTGTCTACTTGTCTGTCCCTTGTCACAGTCTCCCATTTGGTCCCCTAGGGGAGTGTCCACGAGGTGGGAGACCTGCATAAATACTGGGCAGGTAGCCCTCATTAAACAGGCCACTGCTTGACCTTCAACACGGAGCCTTGTCTCGTCTTTGGGGGGGATTTACTGTATGCTGTTAGAGACTGATTGCCAGGAGTGTAAGCCACTTGGGTGCTTTTCCTGTTCGTCTGCTAGCAGCTATTCGTGAGGTTCCAGTTCGGGTGTTTGGAGCATTCCCTTGTATGCAGTTCGGGTGTTTGGAGCATTCCCTTGTATGCAGTTCGGTTGTTTGGAACATTCCCTTGTATGCAGTTCGGGTGTTTGGAGCATTCCCTTGTATGCAGTTCGGGAGTTTGGTGTTCTGCAGGAGCTGTGCCTGTGTATCTGAAAAGGGGAATATCGCCTAAACGGTTTTAACCCCTTGTGTGCTGAAACGGTCCGTTACAGATACTATGTCAATTCTCTATAAGTCTTGTTGCATCTGTTATTTGGTACTTAAGGGATTAAGCGCTTCCATTATCGGGTTAGGCACACACTCCTCTTGATGACGTTACTTTGGAGCTTCCAATCAGAAGGACGTACCTGGTCCAATCAAAGATTGGCTCCTCTTATTTAAATCCAGCATTATGCAGCGATCGGTTCCCCTCTGACGAACCAAGTGGGCGAAACGCGCGCGTCAGGGTCTTTAGGCGTTATTTAGCCGTTTCTCTTTATCATATTCATTTATTATTCTTTCTGATGATCTTTTAGGGATTTGATTACTTTTCAGCGGGGTTAGTCTTAGGTGCCCGTGAAGGCACGGGGGTATTTAGTGTGTAGGACCAGTTTATCTCCTCTTTCATCTTTGCTTATTTAATTGCATAACCTAGGACATCTATTTATTTCCAGTATTTAGTACATTTTGGCTACGTACTGGTAACTTAGTATCTACTATTTATTTTGTAACTACTCAATATCTGTAGCATTCTCTGCAGACTTTGATGTGGTGACTCTAATACAGTCAGTCTAGCAATAATCTTACAATTTATTTTTTTTATCCAGTTTCTAAAGGTTTAGTCAGATTATTTTGGTATCTTAGGTCACTATTGATAACTTGCTACTGATTCTGATTATTATAAACTCTATCTACATTTCTATCTACATCAGAAATTTCAGTATCTTATGGCAATCTCAGGGTTACATCTTTAAGTACCTTTTTTCGTTTCTACTCAGTCTGCCTTTATATGATATTGCTATATCCTCATCTATTTTTCACCATTATTCCAAATCCTTGGATCACTATTTGGTGATGCAGTTTAGATTTTTGCCTTATGGTCCTAGTATATATTTATCTTATTACCCTTTACTTATGCAATACCATATTTAGACTCTCCCCCCTTTTTTCTTTACACAGCACAGACGTGTGCTGTGTCTGAGTATAGTTATATTCCAAAACATCAGTATTTATTCTATACCATCAACATGTATTTTTCTTGTTGTTTTTAGCAATATATATTCTTTTTGGATCCATTCCTATTATTTATTGTTTTGACATTAAGAATATCTAATAAAGTTATTTTTTGTTTTAAGACCCTGTGGTCTTTTTTACGCTCTATATCTTCTAGTCTCTATTCAGAAGTCTAGTATTAGTCTTTTTTCTCCTATTTCGTAGGTACACTATCTTCTATGTTCACTATTTATTTCCACTAGGGGTTACCCCCCCTGTCCTTAGTGTACCTTGGCTGTATTCGAGTAGTTCTTAATATTCTGCTCACATTTTATTACTTTACAAAGTTGTGTCATCTGCAAACACTAAGGGAAAAAATCTCAGGCACTCACTAGGATACATTAAGCAGCTGTAATGGATACTGCAACGTTTCAGCCTGTACCCAGATCTTTGTCAAACTAACACCACATCAAAAAGTAAATGTTTATATACACAATTAATGTGAAATTTCAAAATTCATTAAAACACACAGAGATATAATTAAAACACATAAGAATCCAATTGAAAGTTAGTGGACTAATTGGTTCAGCTCACCAGCTCCTTCGAAAACATGGCAAAAGGAGGCAGTACGGGGGGGCATGGCTGACTGCCGAGCAATATGGCCACATAGACAATTGGTCTGGTACTGAGCTCCCAAAAAAACAAGGAACAGAAGCTGCACAAGAAGTTATCACAAACGGCAAACAACCTCCCTGAGCACTGAAGGGAAAAGGTCTCAATGGCTATGGGGAGTCAGACACGGGAGCCCTGACACCGACAATAGAGCAACCACCTGCAACCAACGCCGAAAATATCACCAGGGACTTTTTGGCACAGGTTTTGGACACGTTGTCGAACAGGCTCATAGCCTCCTGGCAACACATGGTGGATGCACTGCGCAAAGATGTACAGTAGTTGGGCTCCCGCACAACGCACGTGGAACAGAAAATGAGCTAATACGCATCTGCCCACAATGATATGACTGAGCATGTTCAGTCTCTGGAAAGCAAGATCGAGCTCTTGGAGGCCAAAATGTCAGACTCTGAGGACAGAAGCCTAAGAAACAACCTCAGACTTCGGAGAGTACCAGAGTCTATCCTACCTTATGATCTGCAGGCCTATGCATGAGGTCTCCTGCAGGCCTATGCTCCGGACATACCTGTTGACATGCTATTGAGTGACCGCGTTCCGAAGCCAAGCTACCTGCCTGATACAACCCTGAGGGATTTGCTCCTCAGGGCACACTATTTTCATATAAAAGAACTGGTGCTGAGATCCTACCGCAACAAAAGCCCAGCCTTATGAGAATTATCCCACAGTAAAAATATTTACTGACCTCTCTGCGGCAACACTAAGAAGAAGGAAAAGCGTCCAGGTCACAGTGGAATCCCTGTGGCACCAAGGACTCAGCTACCATTGGGGATATCTCACAAAGCTGCTGGTTACCCGTGAAGGAGGCATCACACCAATCCTCACCCCAGAAGAGGGACTCACCAGAATGAAAGAATGGGGTATCTCTATTCACCAAACCAAAGCAGCACCCATTAAGCAGCAGAAGATGGACCCAGCGTAGCCCAGTGTATTGGCACTGCCATGCCCTCTTAGTTTTGGAGGAAGTTCTCCACAAGCTCCTCAATAAAATCCCAACAGCACCATCCAGCTCACTAATTATATGCGGGGACCTCAATCATGTTCTGGATTCCCACATGGACACTACCCTCCCAGAGGCATCCCCCAGACACTCAGCACTATGAACACACAGCAGATCTCTGCTTAAACTCATGACAGAATTTGGTATGTACGACAACGGTTGAACACTGAATCCAAACGGAAAAGAATTTTCTTACAACTCCAGCATCCACAAAGCTTTCTCCCGAATAGACCATATTATGGTGCCTGGCCACCTTGTAACTCGCATCATACAATGCACTATAGGACCCATATTGTGGTCGGACCACGCACCGACCACGCTAACCCTTCAAAACGCATTCCCACATAGAGGGACACCGCGGCGTCTAAATGACTCCCTCCTACAGGACGCTAGCTTTATCACACACTTAACAAAAGATCTGGAGGACTACTTTACACTTAATGAAAACCAGGACATCTCCCCGCTTTCTCTCTGGAAAGCCCATAAGCCCACAATAAGGTTAATCAGTAGAGCCTCATTCCTAAAACGTAAAGCCCAAAGTGACTACCTAGGTCTATTGCGCTTGTTAAGTGATGCGATGAATGCTCATGCTATACAACCAGCAGACAGACACCTGCACACAATAGCCGACACAACTAAATGCATAAATGAAATACATCTAGCCAAAACTGCCCACATACTCAAACGCCTGAAAATGACTAGCTATTCTCAGGGAAACAAAGCAGGGAAAACACTTGCCACGATGCTGAGAAAGAAACAAACACAATCCAAAATTCCCTACTTAATAACAAACACTAACAAAAAAACTATACAACCCCAAGATATCAGTGATGAAATGGCCAACTTCTACCATGCCCTGTAACAACCCGAACTTCCACAACATCCTCCTACAATACAGCAAATGCTCGTATTATAATTGAATCTTTCAAAAACATGGGCATCAACATTCCCAAACACACATTAACGAGATTACAAAGCACATTCGCAAATGAATAGCGCACAGACTCTCTGAAATTCCTATGTATAGCCATAACACCACAGATATTGGGCCTCATCAAGGCAAACTATTTCAGTCTGCTCGCTGACATAAAAAAGCAACTACAGGGATGGAAGGGTAAATTTATATCGTGGACAGGCAGGATAGCACACTAAAATGTTAATCATCCCGAGGTTCCAATACTTATTCTGCACTCTATTGCTCAGGCTCCCAACTCACTACTTCAAAGATGCGCAGTCTCTTATGAATAACTTCATTTGGAATAACTTGA